GAGAATGGGAATGGGATCGCATATGCTCATGCGTATGTAGCGATCATCTGATCGCAGCGAAGGACCCCGTACCATCTGCGTCGGACAGTAAGTTGCACCGCCCCTGGCTACCTTCTCTACGCGCTCAGTCATTCGCTAACTATTTCTTATTATAATTCAAAAACTAATCTTCTGACAACATTTTGGCGAAGGAAAAATCGTCTTAGAATTAAGTCAGGAATATGATATTTTAAGGACAATATGTTCATTTTGAATCACCCTGTATACAACGACGGGATACTTAAACCAGAGGTTTTTGGGATGTTGATGTAATCAGTTTGGAAGATCATTTTCATGTTACTGGGAGGTTAATGGTAAGTTTATTAATTTCCGTTTAATGTTACAATCTTACAAGGTCCTTAGCACATTGTAGGAATATTAATACCACCTATCATGCAAGGTTTCTGGGATGTTAATGTAATCAGTTTGGACGATTATTTTCATGTTACTGGGATTATTTTCATGTTACTTACCATTTTCATGTTAATGGTAGGTTTATTAATCTCCATTTTATGTTACAATCTTACAATTTAAAGTTACTGTAACCTTATTTCAATGTTGATGTTCTGTGAAGGTAGATACGGATATAGGTATATCCGCCTGTAAAGATCTAGGTAATGCACATTGGTACAACTAAAGTATCCAAATACTTTTATCTAGATACATTCCAACACTGGTAAGATGTGATAATAATAATACTCTACTGTCAGTTAAGTTAATATGATTGTGCCTACTTTACGGCATGATGGATGGCATGAAAAGAAGTTTAAATACCTGCACGAGAATACAAGTTTTTGATATCAATTGTATAATAATTTATTGTCATTTTTTATTAAGGTCAAATCTAAGAAATTTAATTTTTCACCCCCCACCACTATTGTAAAATTTAATCTGGAATAAAATTTATTAAATATATTTAGTAAAATATCAATGTTCTGTTCCTGAGTAGATATGGGGTTATCCCGATTGATCACGGCTCGATTGGACACCACCAATCACAGCGACCAGGTGCTTAGGAGCTTTGTAGTCTCAAGCGCTGTGAGTGGCTCGTATCCAATTGAGCTGTGTCCAACTGGGTGCCACCCGTAGATATAGGGCAATATCATCCACATATCTGTAGTAAAAATCTAAAATAATTAATGTAACAAATAATCTTTGTTAAACTTCAGTAACTATAAAATTCATATATATCGTGTCTTATAAATACCTTCCTGTTGAAATATTGTGAAATATAAGTGTATAAAATAAAAGTTTATTCGAAGCCACAACAAATATTAATATCAAAATCAAGCGTAAAAATAAAATGTGTTAAAATATAATACATAACAGAATTAAATACATTTTTCTTATCTTTAAACAATTAAATTAAAGGACTCTTTTAAATAACAAAAGTATCAAGAACATCGAGGGCAAATTAAAATCAAGTTTAAATATAGATATGTGTAATAAACGTTTAAAGTTTTAACATTCTGATAAATTGATATAAAATATATACTGAATTTAAAAAACTTAACGTTATACATTATATTACATTACATGTTTCAGCGTCAAAATGTTTCTTATCTTTATTTTTCCGTAGACGATATCATCTCGAATTTAATATTACGTTTTATCAATTTGTCGATTAGATATGTTTTACCGAATGCAGCACCGGGAGTAAGTACTCCTCCGCTGTAAAAATATTAATACATAAAAATAAAAAATAAAAATTCAACATGTAACTAATTGTCTTTTAATTGTCATTAATTATCTTAAGATATAAGTGAATAATTTTTAAATTTTCCAAAAATGACTACAATAGACATAAATGTTACATTGATAAGTAATTAATAATTTACTAACTTGTCAGGCATTTTATCAGTTTCGTTAAGGATTGTTATTGCCGATAAGATCATTGCGATGCTAGTCAACTCATATCCGGGAGAATCACTAGACATTCTAGTGATTACTTTTTTATTAGGTGGATCTGTGTGTTTATCGGTAGGTTCAGCCAATTTTTCAGTCCATCCACTAGCATTAAACGTAACAGAAAACTATGTTGGTTTCAGCATTTCCAGATTCGAACTAACGATACCAAGTGAAAACAGAGTTGGGTACTGTAAATATCGTATATTATTATCTTATATTATTTAAATGATTTTGACAATCGCGCAAGTACTTGCACACATACTCTTAGAAGTAAATTACGACCGCATGCTGTGCGAGACAAAACGAACATAAACATAGCGATAGTGGCCATCATCAGGAATTCGAAGAAATATCTAATAGTAAATACAAAATTTAAGAAAGATCTAATAGAGTAAGTACAGAATTTAACAAAAGTTATTTGTGTGTCAATATATTCATTCCTATCATACTAACTTCAATGTAACATAAAATTGAACTTGCGCAGGTCTCTTTTTATACTTCTCATATAAGAATCGCTGTGTACGAAGAGTTACTGAACGATCGATACTCGGAAATGGTAAGGACCATCCTTCAGAAACATCGCTTCGATGCAGCATACTTCTGCAAAATAAATGGAATTATTAACATTGCTTACCGTTATTGCAATAACTATTTCTTTGGTAAAACTACAGAATAGGGGACCCCCCTCCTATGACCTTGACCTTGACATATGTTGTTGTGGCTTAGCGCGGCACTGGCGCGCGGCGCCTGCGACCGCCGCCGCGTGGCGGCCACGCGGTCGAGCGCCAGCCCGCATTCAAGATTGATCTAGCGGTCAATATAAGAGACCACCCACGCATCAATCGACATCGAAACTGGAATCTCAGAGAGAGCTCCTAGGGCCTCTGAATCTAGCAGATCATTTTTTGTACCGTGAAGTGGGCCCCTCGGGCCTTCACGTCAACAAAGCAGACTCTCTTTACAGGGTCTTTTATCTGTACCACGGAGGGAGCTCTCACGGGCCTCCGCTACTCCTCGGAGCGAGCTCTCACGGGCCTCCGTTCCTGGCAGGAAAGACCAGCCGCGAAAAAGGCGCCGGGACCACTTCGGTCCCCCAAGACCACTCTCCTTGGAGGAGAGACCATTGGACGAGGGTATCACCTTTGTGCGGTGGCACTTGATCCCACTGGACCAACCGGACGAGCCGGGAGCAGCAGCAGCTATCGGAGATCCCAGACGACGCCCTGTCTGCGACGCAACGACTCAGACTTGGTCACCGCTAAAGGAACTCTGCGAGATTCGACCGCCCATCAGTCCACTGCCGAAGACGCCGCAGAAGCCGAGGACACCCGGGCGTAAGCGGGCCAAATGGATCAATCCTAAACTACAACAACAGCTGTTTGGATCCGACACGAACAGTGAATAGTACACACTTACACCCAGCGTACACGCGCCGCAAGGCGCCGTAAAGCATTCCATATAGTACCAAAAGGTACTTCTGTACATAGTGTACATAAAGTTTGAATAAAGATCACAATATAATTTTAATTTGTGGTACCCGTCCACAGTTGTCAAGGTCATGACCCTGAGTAACTTACGCCAAGTTTTAACCGTCGCTCGTCCTTCGTTAAAAAGTTGTTAACAAAAGAAGTTCAGCTATATATGTATCTCGAACATTTAATTTCGTTACGAATTACTTTTTTCTCACTTAAATAATGCCATAAACGATCAACATTATATGTAATATTCAAAAATTCGTGTAAATGCATATTGGACAGTACAGTAACTGTGTATCAGTAACAAATATGCTTAGAACATATACTACTGGAAGGAGAATAGGGCGCTGAACGTGATGTCAACATCTATGCGAGAGAGAAAGGTATAGAGTAATATATGCGCAATGCGCATGCGTCAGTGCCATCGTATGTGTGAAATGAATTGTACAGTTGTGTTAGTGTTCTCAC